AGCCAGAGCAGAAGGCAGCATCCACCCCTGGAGCATCCTCTGAGTAACAGCAAGAGGAACTCTAAATAACTCTACAAGTCCATTACTCTTCTTCCTTCTGGAGTGGAGGTTTTATTTGCAGGCCTGACTGGAAGCAGATGGACCTGTCAGAGCTGGCTCAGGCAGGTGAGCCCGACAGGGTGGATGAGCTGCTAAGTGCTCCCAGCTGCTGGGCAGGGCCCTGGAGGAAATTGTTGGAGCTGGGACCCAGCTCAGAGCTGAGAACTGGAGAAGGAAAAAGTGAATTTCTCCAACAAGCTGTTCTCTCCAAACCTGAAAGGGGGAGGCTTTTAAAATGAGAGAAAATAGCTGAAAACCTCTTTAGTGCATCTAATATCTCTTCAGGCATCAGAGAGCTAGAAGCCACCCTGAGCCCCTTCCCCCATCCCTGGTTTTGTTCAGGGTCTGCCTCTATCCAGCAAATCCTGGGGGTTCTGCCTCTATCCTGCTTTTCCTGGGGGTTCCTCCTTGTCGTTGGTGTTTCCCTCCCCATAAAACTCTTTAATTTTTAGTTGCTGCTTCGTGTCATTTGATTTACAAGCTCAGGGAGCCCTTCACAAACCCTGCCCTGCTTCTTGTGCTTAATTGCTACAATAAACTTAAAACTCAATCCTTGAGGAAAGGGAAACTGGGAGGAAATGGTTTGAGGTGTGGAAGCAGACAGGTCCTCCTTGTGAACGTCACCGAAGGGACAGAGGAGAAACTGGCTTATAAATAACTGCAAAAATCAAACCCCACGAGCTTGGGTAAGCAGGAACAGCTTGTGGTGCAACACTCAACATCTGCAAAAGTCCTTGCAGCCAACGGAGCTCCCTCCAGGCTCCAGGGCTGCTCCTGGGCTGTCTGACCCCAGCTTTAACTCCGCGGGGACCCAGCCGAGCCCCAAAAACGCTGCCTGGAGCTCACAGCCAAAAGTGCAAATGAAGGGGTCAAAGAAAAAGTGATTAACGAGTCAGGAGCGTTTGTTTGCCTTGTGAGGCAGGTGGGTTTTCTTTTTCCTTGCAGATTTACTCTGTGGAAAAGAACTCTTTTGGGTTTAAAAGGTGGTTTTCCAGCACTGGTGGCTGTGGTGGAGCACAGAGGGCACCGAGCTGGGGTGGATGGGGCTCTGCAGTGGTTGGGTGATGCTTTGGTGCCAATGAATGGCATGGAGCTGAAGAAAATCATGGCATTCAGCATGTAAACACAGAGGAACGATGTTAAAATGATGCCTTTGGATGCTGCAGCTCTTCTTTAGCTTTCAGAGCCAGATTTAGAGAGCCCCAGCAGATTCTGGGTGTGCTGGGAGACACACACACCCACCCAGGGCTGAGCTGAAGGGACACGTCAATATTGTGGAGGCATCTGTTTCCAATAGTGTGTGTTTACATATTAATGTGCAATACAAATTTGTAAACATGAGCATTTGAGACTTTTTTTGTAGGAACTGATACCAGCCTTTTCCCTTTCTGCAGCTTTATTGGAACCTCATGTCCCCCCTCTCCCCAGCCCCACCACACATGGAGATCGTTGGCAGACTGGAGGCATTTCAAATGTTCTGGGTGCTTATTGGTTCTGCTCTATCTTGCCAGCCAATCCTCGTTTGCTTTGCTTAATTGTGATACAAATTATCATCTAATTACAGACCAAACCTCAGCAGATCAAATGGAGGCCGAGGGATTTCGATCAGAGAAAGCTGCAGCCGACCCTCCCCCTACACATTTGGCTTCTCCAACAGAGATATTAATTTGGAGTGAAACTGGATAACAAACTGCACTTGGATTAAAAACTTTGAGGGGGAATTCTCCTCCTTGATTTTGAAATCAGCCCCCCAGTGTCTGAGCAGCGAGCCCAACCCCTGTCCCAGTGAGTATGAACCCTTTATATGGCCACATTTGGCTAGAAATAGGATCAGCTATTCCCAAGTAAATTCAAACTCCTCTTGGGGGGAAAAAATCTGACTAATAGTGAAGTTGATTAGGCAATTTTAATCTGAAAAGGACCTCTTTGCTTATTTTCCCTGCTCCCATTTAAAAATAGCCTCACAATGTGACGTTTTTGTTTGTACTCGCTCCCTAAGCCAAAAAAAAGTTGAACTTTTGCAATTGCCTCAGGTTTCCAACTGATGTTAATGGGAGGAAGTACAAAGCAGCATGTGAAGTATTTATATTTACAGATGCGTGGTCGTGCTTGAAACGTTGACCTCAATTCCCCCAATTTCCCCTTGAATAGCTAATGAATTTTTTATCCTGACTTCCTCTTGAGTTCTGCCACTCATCTCCATCAGAAGCTGCTCTCCAAAGTGCCCTTAGAAAGCAGCAGGCAGGTTAGCCACTATTTTGGGCACAGCTTTTCCCCTATAAGCAGAACCATCTCTGTGATGGGATCAGTGAGTTGGTTGAATCACCAGTTGTGAGTATGGAAAAACTCTCCCAGGTCTGAGGTGACCGTGGGGGCATCAAGACAGAGCTACACTGCCTGAAATTATCCCCAGCATTTTTTCATTCTCTACAGTGATTTTTTTAAAGGGTAAAATCAGGAGATAAAGGTGAAGGAAATAGAAATTAACCTCAGATATCCCAGATCTGTGTCCTGTGCTGTTATGGAGCTGGTTGGTATTTCTAGGTCTGCCTTGCCCATGCTGATGGGTGTTGCATCCTTCTCCCTAGAGCTTGGTGTGGGCACCCAAGGGACACAGGAGCTGGAATCACCCATCCCTGGCATCACCAGGCTTTGGATGTGCTTTCCACGTGGCTGTGAGCAGGAAGAGCAGCAAAAATCAGGCTCCTGCAGGACCAGGCAGATGGAAACCCAACCCAGTTCCACCAGGATTGGCTGAAGGTTGCTGTGGGAGCACATCACCCAAGTCCTGGCTGTGTATCTTATGCCAAAAGGCCCAGAATGAGCAAGCAGCTCTGGGAAGTCTCAAGTCCATCTGCAAGCACTCTGAGAAGGCAAGAGGTGGGTCCCATCAAAGGCAGAACTTGCTCTGCTGCAGTAGATGGAATTTATCTGCCTTCTACTGAAATATCTACTGCTGTAAAACTGTCTGTACTGAAAATATCTCTTCTGCTCCCTGTCAGTCACACTTTTCACTAGGCAAACACTGATTTGCTGGATCACCAGCTCGTGGCCAGCAACTCTGGAATCTCTTATGCAACTGCAAATATTTGGAAAATTGGAAGCTACCCATTGGATCCGCCCATGAATCCGTGGCTGGTCTGGAAGAACCTTCCAGCTCCCCAAAAGTGCAACCACATGTGGGGGCTGGTGCTTGGGGAGTACCCCACGGGGGAGCAGAGCTCTGCTGTGTGGGGCTGAGCCCACCCCAGCACCCCCCATGGGCTCATCCATGGGAACTCAGCACCACTGGTGATGAGGGAGGGCTTAGAAATAAGGACTCTTGAATGAAAAGGTCTTTTTATAATAAAAATGAGATAAACTGCTAAGAAACAGCCCCCAAAAAAGCAGCTTTGTTCATTTTTACAGCTGTCCAGACCATTTAGCAAGGCAAGCAGGGCCCACGGTTTCTTCCTGGTGTTGCTGGGGCTCTGTGAACTCTCAAAGCAGCTAAATTAGGGAAAAAGATGTCTGATTTTTAGCAAAGTCTCACAAAAGTAAATGTGGGACTTTGTTATTGCAGCAACTTTGGATATTGCTGCTCTTTAATTTGTTGTCTGTGAAGGATGAAAACAAAACCAGAACCCTGAGACCAACCTTGATTCTTAAACCTGCTCCTGATCCCTGTGAGGTGCTGTTAGGTTTGTAAGTCCACAATTCTCTCATCTTAACCCCAAAATGTGGCCAGTCCCCATCAAGAATTATTTTCAACTCTCTTGTCATAGATCAAATAGTGAAATTGGCTCCAGGCAGGGACTGAGCATCGATCAAATAAAGAATAAAACCTCTGCCCTGATGTATAGTGAGTTATATTGTGCCCTTGGGAGCTAGAGATTATTTACAGGAATAACAAGAATATCCACAGGTTATAATAAAACAAACAGGGCTTCTGGAAGGAATTGAAAAGCCCATTTTGGGGCCCATGGAGCTGTAAGTGTCCGGGAAGGATCCGTGTTCTCCATGGGATTGAGTCAGGAGCATCCCTGCCCCTTCCCTCAGGCCCAGGCTGGCAGATGCCACCCCAGGTGGATCTTCTGTGTCCACCAGGGCTGAAAGAGTTGGGTAGGAGCAACGTCCTGTCGTGTTCCTGGAGGTGTTTCACCCCACACAGCTCTCTGAGAAGCATCTTCCAGCACGGAGCCATCTCACCCTGGGGGAGAGGTGACCCTCCAGTCCCCGTTCCTTCCCCCCATGCCATCAGGGCTGCTCTGCTGCTACCACCTCCTGGAGATCCCCCAGGCAGGACCGTGGAGAAGAGGGCCCTTGGGGCACCCCAGGCTCCATTTTTTCTCATCCCCACAAGGTAGGAACGTGTCCATCTTTTATCCTGCCTTTCTTTACCTCGGCAGCACACGCTTGGGTTTACATCCCCACTCTGATAACCAAGTCCTGGAGCAGAGGGGACTTTCATGTTGTTAATTAGGATCCATTAGAGCCAAGGGAGCTTGAGAACGTGCTGAATATGGTTCCTTTGCTGACTCGAGGTCTTGAATTGTCCCTTTTGAGTGGCCAACCTCGGGTGGGGTGAGCAGAAGCTCGGCGGAGCTTTGAGCTAATTAAAGGCAAGCTAGAGAGTTTCAGGAAAACACTTGTAGAAACTTCCCACTTCAGAGTGCAAATAGGAAAAAGGTGACTTCACACTTTGCTCTTAACCTACAACTGGGACATAAATATCACCAAAAGGTGACAAACATCACCTTGCTGTGGATCACCCCAGCCCCTCCACGCTCCCAGATCCTCCCAACAACACACACACACAAAAGAGTTAACCCCGTAGACCTGTACGTGGAGCAAGCCCTTGGGTATGAAGGAAAGGAAGGGTTGCTTTACTTCTCGAGGCTTAGAAATCCTAGAGAACCCCACTAAAGGCAGTGGTTAATTGTGGGGTGCCAGTTAGAGTGATGACATCTGCCATCTCTCAAAGAAACCGGGACGCTGTCGCTCGCTTTGAAATGGCTCGCTGCACTCATCAGTCTGGATGGCACGGAGAAGTTGTAGCCATACAAGCCATATGGAGGATGTAAAGAACAATTAAGTGCTTCCCGAGCAATGGGATTTGATGGGAAAATGTTTCCAGATGGATGCAATCCATACAGCATTTGACTGGCAGAGCCGGGGGCTTGGAGACACTGCGCGTTCAAGTCTTCGGCTTTAGGAGTTTTCAGGTTGGCCACGCCGAGGGAAGAGAGTTTGGGCACGTCCACCATCAAGTGGGGTAAAAGATGAGGGTTGGTGCCTCCCAGTTTGTCTGGGAAGAGGAGAGGCTGCTGCCTTAAGAGGCTGGTGGGACAGATCTTGTAGTAGAGGGGCAGGTTGAGGTGGTGCAGGTAGGTCTCGGGGCACGCGACGCCGAGGGCGCTCGCCGCCAAGTGAAACGCAGGAGGGGAGCAGGATGGAGAGAGCAGGGGGTTGAGAGGAGAGGGTGTCCCGCCGCTGGAGGTCACCGGGGAAGAACTGGAGCGCCCACC